ATTTCAAAGGAATGCTCATTACAGTTTTAACTTTCAGCATTAAAATAATATTCTGTTTCGAATTCGAAGTCGAAGAAGAAGAAGAAGAAGAAGAAGAATTTTTATCATGATCATAATGATAATAATTTGTCCATCTGACATCTATGGAAAACATTGTAAAAACAAACTTGAACACCCGAACCCCAACCCACTTTCCTTTTTCTTTTTTTCCTTTTTTTATTTTTGTTAAATGGGTTTTCCCTAAAACTTATTGTTCCCTGAAAAAAAATGTTTTCGAAAGTTTGTATAACTTTCAAGTTTTATTCCTTGGCCTCACGAAATATGAAAATATAAAACTGCTTCACAAAAGAAATGGGAAAATACCTTTTTTACTTGGCTTTGTACATGTTGTTGGTGATTGTAACTGTATTATAATAAATATAATAACTTATCAGCATTTTTCAATTATTGTTAAGGTAATTTTCAATAAATGTCGAATTTTGAAATTGCAAAATTGATTTAAAGTTACCAATTCCAACAACCCTCGTCATAAGCAAATCAAAACAAACAGTACTTATAGAACAACATATAAAAAGATGCAATCTTGATAATGTCATATAAGAATATATTGAAACATGTTTTGATAGGTGATGCAATATTTTGTCTCTCTTGTTACCATGTTCAAAAGAAATTTCGGGTGATTTAGAAACAGTTTCGATAAAATTTAAGCTTGTTTTTCGTAACCAATAAGATGGTTTTCAAGAGTAAAAACTTCTATGCATATTCATTCTGTGAAATAATAGACTATTTGTCATAAAGGTTATGAAAATAACCACCAGTAATGCAAGTCTAAGATAGCAATTCATAATTTTCAGCATTTTTCTCTCTTTCTAATAAACCCAACATCAAGTAATTCCCTTGCATGTTGGTTTACTTTTGTCTTAATTTTATTGGTAAAGGAACGTATGTTAAATGATATATCACCATATTAAGTTTTATCCTGTTACCTTCTTGTCTATCCTGTTACCGATAGCACTATTGCATCTGCACATGCTAAATTGCGAAGATTAAGACGTTATAACCTTTAGATGAGTTCAAACAACGAAACATTTCATTATGTGTACAACTATATGTAGTTATAAATTTTTTAAAGACGTTTCTGTCTACTATTGTCTATCATGTTACTGTAACCATAGCAACCATAGTAACAGGATAGACATAACAGGATAGACATAACAGGATAGACAAATTTCTTCATTTTTGAATGTTGTTGTGAAATACAGTAACTACTCCCTTTGATGAAGTGATAATGTTTTTTTTTTGTTGTGATTTTGGTTTCCAACACGTTATTGCACTTTTTACAAGTTTAATATTGGTGCAATTAATAAATATGTTGGTAATAGCATACACATGACAAAAAGGTACCCACTATTTTTTTTCACTAAATGTCTTGAAATTTCTTTTCTCCACACTGTTATACAAGAAATGTGCTGTGTTAAATGTTTAGGTTACTTTACGCTTTTGAAATCAACACTGACTAGATCAATATTCATAGGGAGAACAATTTAACGGTTGATGAAGTAGCTCTAATAGGATGGACATGAACTTCGTTTATGCTGATTGAATTTAGTTTGTACAAAAAATGTTACATATAATAATAAAGAAACTGCGATTTTTAGTTATAGTTATTATTAACATTCTAAAAGAGTCCCTTTTGCAGATACCAAGGCAATCAGGAAATAGGAAAAAATCATTTGAAATGTGTTACACTGACACTGTACTCACATAAATGACGCAAAAATCGGACTTAAATATATATTTTAATCTAATCAAAATATATCTAAATCGTGTTGTTTATTATTGTGTTGACTCATAAATTCTAAAAATTTTCATTTAAACACTTACAACTGCATTTTCCATTCGAAATTAAAAATTTTAGCATCGGTGTACTGAAAATTCGACATCTTTTGAAAATGACCTGTATAATGTTCCTTTATTGTATACCTTTTGTTATATTCCCGGTGATTTGTTTTTTCTGTATTTAAAACATATGGCACACTTTCGTTTAATTAATTTAATTGTATGATCATCCTCATAAAGAGATTAAAAATGAACCGCCGTTTAAACATAACCAAGTTTACATTGTAGATTTGTTTCTAGACAATCACGTGATCAAAATATATTTTTCCTGTTTAATTTCCTTGTTTATGTTTCTGCCTCGCCCTCCTCTGCCTTTGTTAGAATTTGTCTTTAAGCTTTATGTGTTGCAGCCTGTGTTAGAATTCGTCTTAATTCAGATAATTACCGGGGTTCAATAATGATGTGCATATACATAATCATGTCCAATTTTTATCCGGATTTATAATGTGCAAGCCGGGTAGGTAAACTTTTGAATGTTGTTTCACTTTCATCAAGCTACAATCAATCAAAAATCAGATCGCGTGGCATTAACTAAGATCTCTTCTCATGAAACTATTAAGGCAATTTAAACTAAACTAGACATTTAAAATTGTCATGGTATATTTTATCCATTATTTGAATTGAGTTTTGTTTCAAAGATATTCACATCTGAAACAACCAAATAAATTCGATCACCAAAAAAAAAGCCAGTCATTAAACTAGGCCAATATAACGAAAGACGACAAAGGGATAAATGAAAATAATTGCTTAATATCATGAAAATTACATCAAGTATACAAAACTCTTTAACCATCAAAATTTCCAGACTTTTCATTGTTACGGTTATTTCCCATTTATTGTGATACATTGTTACACAATGCTGTACATGTTTTAGCTTTCCAAAAAGCTTCAGAGTTCTTCGAAGTTTCATACTTTTTAATTAGGATATGGTTTATGTGGTTGTTTAAATATGTAGAAGGTGTTATATACCTCCTTTGTGTGTAGAATCATGTTAGGTATTAAATGCCAGTCTTAAACAGGGCGTATTATGGTATACTGTAGTCCGACTGTTCGTATGTCAAACACTTCTTCGAACATCCAAACATCTTTTTTTTTCTCTAAACAATTTCAGCAAAATGTAAATGTCAGGATTGGCAGCACAGGTTGCATCTTTATTTAAAAATATTTTTGTGGTGTCATTGCAGAGTCATGGTCCCTAAGATTTTAAATAATGTTTAACCGATTGTGCTTTTACTCTAATATGCTTGGATTTATGTTTTCATAATTTTACACTGTAAAGATTGATAATTTTTTTTCATTGGCTTCATTGATAAATGTCGAATATTGAATAGGATATTGGTATTTATTGGTTATGGGTACCATAGAATGATTGCAGTACACCTGTGTTTGACAAGTTCAACATTACTTGACTTCATTTTTATAATTTATTAATGTCTGTAAGATTTCATGACAATATAAGATTTCAGTACTACAAGTTATAGGTCAGTTAGTCAACTGAATTTGAGTATAATCAATGCAAGATGAACATGTCCATCTGACAGGCTAGATCTGACCATGACCTCATTTCCATAGATTTTTTAACAATGTTTAGATATTGTGATACTTGTAAAAAATCCTTAACTTAATAAAACTTTAAACTCAGTCATCATTTTTTTATATAGAGATTGCTGTATCTATATATAACATTATACATAATTATTATAATGTTAAATCATAACTATCCTACTGCCTGTCGATATTTTGGTCGATTATTTTGGCAATGCACAAGTCATGTCTTCTTTGACTGTCCATGGCGTTAAATCCCTGAGTTGTGTTTTAGTTGATTTTAGTTTCTGGTGCATGATTTTTTTTATTATTAATTGCTTTTGGCTTTTAACTAGCTTTCAGTAACTGCGAATACTCTCAAATCGTTTTTTTCGTGTTAATTTGACCTGTTGATACAATTTGTAATGCATTTTTGTTATTCAATGTTTACTTTTTTTGTGTTATATCTCGTCTTACTATTTTTAATATATACCAACTTTGAAAATTATTTAGAGTGTCGATAAATTTTCACTTCCGTACTTTGAACAACAAATTTATATTTGTAAAAACAATTTCCGTACTCCATGTACTCCTTACAACAACATTATTATATTTACCTATGTACGTTATTTTATTGAACGCCATTTTGTCCAAGATTAAAGTTGTCTTTCAGATATTGTTTTACATCCCCTTTTTTTTATTAATATTTTATTTACATTGTGTCATAGATCAAATTTATTCGGTCAGTGTATGTTTACTTGTTTTTGTTAAAATGTCTTTTGTTTGAGTTAAGCCATTTCAAATGATATAAGTGTTTCACGTTTCTAGTTCTTTATATAGACTAGACCGTTGGTTTTCCTATTTGAATGGTTTTAAACTAGTAATTTTTGGGGCCCGTTAAAGCTTACTGTTCGGTCTGAGCAAAGGCTCCGTGTTGAAGGCCGTACTTTGACCTATAATAATTAACTTTTTACAAATTGTAACTTGGATGGACAGTTGTCTCATTGGCACTCATACAACATCTTCTTGTATCTATATAATCAGAAAAGCAGACACGATTTGCAGCATGTCCACCCTTGATGATTAAATGATGAATTGCATCATATTTAATATAAAAGAAGGTATTTGAAATATATTTCTTTTTTCTGACATTAATTCCTTAGAAATATCCATATTGAACTTTTTTTAAAATTCATTTACAGTATAAACCAGTGAGATAATGGCTAGTGCAACAAATGTCTGTGGCATATGCGATCTACGTCATATTACCAAACCATCAGTAGCCTGGTGTCAAGAGTGTGATGAAGGATTTTGTTCTGGTTGTGAAGAACATCACAGCTTAGCAAAAGCAACCAGACATCACAAAACGATACCAATGGCTGAATACCAGATGTTGCCTCCGGATGTCCTGCAGATCCCTCAGTCTTGTTCCAAGCATGATGAAAAGTTTCTTGTATACTGCAAAGACCACGAAATGCCATGCTGTGGTAAGTGTGCCATTGAAGTTCATAAAGGATGCAATGAAGTTGTCAATCTCGACGACATAATTAAGAATGCTAAGACCTCTACCTCTTTCAAAGAAATAGAAGAAACACTTGATGAAGTTGTAGATAGTATTAAAGAAATACAAACATTGTACAGGGGAAATATTACTACACTTTCAGAAAACAGAAAACAAATTGAAAAGCAGGTTCAGGAAATTCGTTTTAAGATCGATACCCACCTCAATGAAATACAGAAGAAGTTGGTAGATGAACTACAAGAAATAGAGGAAACAGAAGGAAGAAAAGTTTCCCAGCTGCTTAAAACATTAGAGGAAAAAGAGAATAATTTAACAAAGTACCAGAATTTAATTGCAAATATCAAGCAGCATGCTTCTGACCTCCAGGCATTTATGTCAATAAAAAAAAATGGAGCAGGATTTACCTAACGAAGAAGAGTTCACTCAATCATGCCTTGACGGAGACAAAGTGAATATAAGAGTCATCACATCAAAAATCGATGAAAATGTTGAAACCATCATGAAAAACGTAAAACAAATAGGGGAAATAGTTGTAGTAGTAAAACCGACCAAAGCTATTATACGAGAAAGAATGAAACGCCAAGCTCAAATAATTATTCCAAAAATACAAACAAAATCAATCGATAATATTACAGCTCAGCTGCAGCAGACGATAAAAATGACTTCTAAAGACGTAAGAGGTTGTTGTATTCTCCCAGATGGTAGAATGGCATTTACCTGCACTGAGAGGAGGAAGTTAATTTTGATGAAGGCCAACGGTACCAAAGATTTTGAGATGAAATTACTAGGTGCATACGATGTCGCAAATGGAACAAAAGATAACACGGTTATTGTATCGTCATGTCTCCGTAAAAGTGGTATCAGTATTGTCGACATCCAGGACAGGAAGATAAAGAAGTTTATCCCTGACGAATACCAATGTTTTGGTTTAGTAGAACGAAACGGAAACGTAATATTTTGTTCCGGTTTTCTGAAGATGTTAAACCTGCACACTGAAACTGTTCGCACTATCAAAACTGGAAACGTATCCTCATTTTCGTATGTTGATACAAATGGAAAGAACATTTATTATACTAATACTTCAAATTCTGGCCATTCGGTAACATGCTGTGACTTTCAGGGTGTCCTTAAATGGACTTTCAAAGATGAAAATATTTTAAAAAATCCCCGAGGAATATCTGTAGATGACGATGACTTCTCGTTTGTTTTATCAGATGATTCAGTTGTACTTATTTCGCCTTGTGGTAAGCATCATAAAACACTTTTATCTTCTAGTGACGGACTTTGTGACCCACAAGCGTTGCATTATGACAAAACAAGAGAAATCTTATTAGTTGCACAGAGGGAAGAGAAAGCATTTTTGTACAAAATAGATCGAACATAGAATAACAGATCTAGATAAAAAATGTAATATAAAACGTATATTCATATATATTAAAGTCATACACTACAAATGTACATGCCAAGTTAAATTACAGGAGGCATACTTTTTTGTTCATGCGGAAATCGTTGGGAGCATCTTTTTATTGTCTTTAAATGTGTTTATTTTTTTCCTTTTTCGATCTGTCTCAGGATTGAAGTTTTCCTTTCAAAATATTATTCTTCTCTTGAATTTTTAATTTAATTATTGTTCTTGGTTTATATTGTAACATTTATGGCCGAGTTGCACGAAACTTAAAATTGGCAAATAAAATGTCGAAAATGTTGATGTCACACGGTATTGCTGGAATATCTCTGACAAGAGGTGATTAGTGGGGTATCTATTTTGTGTGATCGACTCCTCGTACAGATTTCACTTAGATCCTTGAAACTGAAGGTTGAGAATTACAAATGTTTAGGGGTTACATTCGGTCATAACGGAAATGCCATAACCATTGCGGAAAATTTGTAGAAAGGCGGCGGAAGAGCACTAGGGAAGATCATATTCAAAATTCACAACAATAAAGACTTCGGATTTAATGCCTACGAAAAACTGTATTATTCGTGTGTAGTTCCTATCTTAGATTATGTCTCCAGTGTCTGGGGATACAGACAATTTCGAATGATAGACAATATTCAAAACCGTACAATACGATATTTTTTTGGAGTTCATCGTTTTGCGCCTACTCTCGCCCTACCTGGGGATGTTGGATGGATCCCAAGCCAGTTTCGAAGATGGACAAACATGGTGAGGTATTGGAAAAGACTACTCAAGTTTGAAGATGATCGCATAACGAAGCTTGCTTTTATGCAAACTATAACCGTTATATCGACAATTGTTGTAGCGAATTGAAGGACATTTTCTGTAAACTTAATTTAGAACATTATTTTTTAATCAAAAACTGCTATTAATTTCAAAAATGTAGAAATGCACATTCAGCGCCTTTATTCAAACATATGGAATGATAATATACAACAAGTGACAAAACTTCGTACTTATATAACTTTCAAATCTGCCTTTAATGAAGAACAGTATGTAAACATCTATTTAACCAAAGTCGAACGCTCCCATTTAGCACAATTCAGATGTGGAATATTACCTCCGAGGATAGAAACCGGACGATATATTGGTGAACGACCAACAGAAAGACTTTGCAAATTTCGCACTGAATACTCGACCGAAACTGAAACTTTTTTTTTACTAGACTGTACATTCTTTTCTGGTATACGAGAACATGTATTTATTAACTACTTCCTTTATATCTATGGACAATAATGAAAAGCTTAAATTTTTAATTAGTAGTCATATTCGAAAACTAGCCAAATACATCGTACAGGCATATTCCAAAAGACGCAATTCTGTTTACAAATAGTTTAAGATTTATATATTTTTCAAATTAACTTTCGTCAACAAAAAGATAATTTCATGAATAATCTGTTATTTCCAAGAACGTGATATAATTGTTTTATAATTATGTAATTTCATTTGAGGTGACTTATAGGTCCATATATTGGGTCGGGTGTATTAATATTTATCATGTATTATATGTTTCTAATCTGTACATATTTACACATGTCACTTTAATAAATAATTTACTTACTCACTTACTTACTTACATATTGAAGTTGTCCAACTGCTGTTATGGAATTGTTTAATGAATATATCATTTTAGTTTTCATTTAAGTTTGGAAACATATCAATTTTTTAGCCAAATTTACAAAAGACGCTATCTACATTTATTTTGTTTAATCAACTGCCCCTATATTTTTCAATCGATTCCTAGCACTTGACAGATAGAGTGTATAAGTTTATGAATATACGTTAATGTTTCGGGGCCAGCTGAAGTCCCGTCAAAAAACTGTATTTAATGAATCAGAATTTGGATTAATTTTCATCTTTACACTAAATAAGTATATAAGTATGGTCTACATTTATTATATTTCATTATTATAAAGACAAGCCGTATGTAATCAAAGGTAATCAAAAGAGGAGGAGCTAAAATTAATTTTGAAAATCCTATAGGAGATGCTCGGCTATCAAGAAATATTATGTAGTTTTAAATATATATATGTATGAATAAAAAAATCTATCTTGTCTTCGTGAAATTGTATAGCAAGATAGAAATGATTGTCATCAGATTTCAAAGGACGTTTCATGTTAATATAAGTCTTATATTAACATGAAACGTCCTTTGAAATCTGATGACAAAACGTTAAAGCGTGATCAGTTTGGCGCGTACTTATCATTGTTCATTGGCTAATTGTTCGAAAGCTTGATACAAGTTATTGCTTGCTGGCATGTTGTTCGCTAGCTTGAGTCTGGTTTTGATATGTTGAGCTGTCGATTTTGCCATTTGATCATTGATTACAAACTTTCACCTTTGAATTTTCCTAGGATTACGGTATTTTTGTTATTTTACTTTTAGTCAATAACAAAAAAGTCTAATTTATTCTTTTTATTCGAGTGTTTATATAGCAATTTTCTTGACTCTCTTTATGTCCTCCGGATTATTTTGTGTGTCGTCGCGTTGACGTAAACTTCGCATCTTATTGTATTCTATATTTAGGTTGTTCGGTTGCAGTATTGCAATCATTTGGCGGAACCACTATTGTGTGTCCTAGTCCCGGCGTATGCTTAATAGGTTAAAACAAGTTCAAATGTACATTACTAAAATTTGTATAAACAAACTCCATTCTAAACTGAAATTTGTTCAAACCAGTTTGACCCGTAAGTGTTCGATAAAACGACTAAATAGTGTATTGTTTATTCTCTTTGTATTTTTTGTGTCAATATTGTAAAAATTCAAGTAACTTTTTTTCGATAAAATAAAATACGACGAAATAAACTCAATAGATATACATGTAGTAAAAGGGTCTGGATGGGGGTCTTTATTTCTATTATTTTTCATCTAATTGTAAGGTCATGTTTCTCTTTATTTTTGGTCCATTATTCTCCTATTTTATTTTGGTTGGCCAATTTTTCTCTATTCTTTAGTTTCTGGTTATTTTCTCTAACCGTGTCCCATTATTCTCTAATCTGTAAACCCCATCCAGATCCTCTTTCATTTTCAATTGTTAGTACGGAAATCCGTTTCACAATTGTTTGATTGGTATTATACATTTTCCCTTGCTTTTACTTGTGTACTAGTAATTTGAATTTGGGTCAAGGATTTGATGGATTTGAAAGAATTTTGTGCCGGTTCTAGGTTCCACAAGGTGACATTTTAACCACCCAGAATAGTAATCATTGTCCTGAAATCGGATGTCTAAATATGGACTCATAGTCAGCCAACCAAACATCGCTAGAAGCTTTAATTTTCCGCTCGTACCATAATTCGATACCTTGGAGTTATAGTACTGAACTTTAAATGATCACGACATGACAAAGTGTTTAACAATTAAAAAAGAAAAAAAAAACAACGAGCTGCTTTACTCTAAAACAAAAAATGACCATAAGGAACAATAATACGTGTTTCTACAAGTTCCAATATAAAGTTCTATTGCATGCATATAACAGAAAAAGGGCAGATTTAAAAATAACAAGAGGCTCAAATGAGCCTGAATCGCTCACCTGGTTCAAATATGCCATTTAAATAATTTGTTTCTCCTTTATTGCAATCGATTATATTAGCTCTTCTGTAGATCTTATTTACTGGCAAAAAATCCTGAATGTTGAACTTTTTTCATTTTTATCAATGGCGTTGACAGTTTATTTTGGACATTCAAACTTATAAGTTCAGATAAACTGACACCATGGGTTAAAAGGGAAAAAGACCAACAAACAAACACCAGTACACAAAACACAACATAAAAAACTAATGACTGAGCAACACGAACCCCACCAAAAACTCGGAGTGATCTCAGGTGTTCTAGGAGGATAAACGCTCAAACACTTTTAATTTGTGGTTACAAATACATGTTAACTCTTAAGATACATAAAACTAACCTTTGTATAGGTTTGCAAGGCTATTTAAACGAATGTTAATCAATTACACTTCATATAAAAAAGCCATCGAATGTCCGTTATCTATAATATATACCAACTTTGAAAAAGGCTAAGCTTCTAACTCAGTTAACATCACTTGGATTCCCAAGTTGCATGCTGATTTTAGCTATTGAAAATAAATGAAATAGTATTCAGTTTCACACTGTCATTCAATTCGAAATAAACAGGGATGCACAATACCTTAAAATTTACTTCAAACCGCTATTTTGTCTAGATGGGAAAACCGTTAATGAGCTATCTGTCGTCCTTATTTACCCACTCTTTTTTTTTTTTTGCTTAAAACAAATATTGACTGAGATGCTGCTTCCTTGTGCTTATCAGGAGACTGACCTTATTTCACTTTTAAACGTATATTCATAAAAGAAAATTGTCTAGCGAAAGTAAGTAAAACTTTCAAGATGTATTCCTTTATATCCTACAATTAAAGAAACGCTGTCTTAAAACAGACTGAAATATGGAACCTTTTTTAGTTGGTCTTTTATGCATTTATTATTGTGTAATCAAAACAGATTAATGTTTGTAAATTGTTAACCCATTTGATATGTATTTATCATTATTTTACTGATGGTATGTTTTTCATTATGTAAATATTCTGGCACGCGTTCATTTATTTAAAGCGATTTTTGTCTACATTATCACAAATAATTCAAATGAACTGCCGTTTATTATCAAGTTTATTAGTTTACTAGTTTGCGTGCAGACATTCACATGATCATTTTCTATTTTTACCTTTTAACTTCCTTGCCTATGTCGCAGCCTGTGTTTGGATTGTCTTGATTCAGGTAATTAACGGTTCAATCATGATGTGCCTATACATAATCGTGCACTGTTTTTATCATAACTAATTAATTTTCAAACTGATTACAGCCCTTGGATGGTGTAAACTTTCTACAAAAATGTGTATGGTGTGATGGTGTATGGCATATAGTGCAATGGTAGAAGGTGTATGGTGCTATGGTGTATGGTGTAAGGGGAATGGTGTAAATGAATGGTATACGACATTTAAAACTATGCAAAATATTGATAAGAACTGAGTTTTAATTTTATACATTAATTTACAATATTGTGTTATGCTGTGTTATGGTATAATGTGTAAGGTGTATGGTGCAAAGGTGTAACGTGTATGGTGTAATGGCACCGGGTGTATGGTGTAATGGTGTATGGTGAAAGGTGTAATGGTGTATGGTGTAAGTGGGAAGTTTACACCATCCAAGGACTGTATATGCATGTAATTGAATTTGGAAATGTAGTTTCATTTTTATTATTTATTCGGGGCGGGGGTTGACCTATTTAAAAGGTTTTCAATATTTATCATTTTATTTTACCCATTATTTGAAATGTGTTTCCAAAATATACAATTCCTAAACAAACTTTACAATGACTTCTGCAATATTTTAGCATTTTTATTCTAAAAAGCTTCGAAGTACTTCGTACATTGTAGTATCATACTTTTAATCAATATCTAGTGTTTGAATAAAACATAAGAAGATGTAGTATAATTACCAATGAGACAAATCTCCATCACAGACCAAATGACATAGAAGTTAACAACTATAGTCACTGAAATGTAGCTGATTTAATATTTGGAAGATGATGTGTATCGTTTTGTGTATATTGTCATGGGTGGTATTAAACATCCGTCTTAGACAGGACGTACTATGGTATGCCGTATTCCGACTATCCGTATGTTCAACATCTCAAATTTTTAATAAATCAATTCTCACAAAATGACAATATCAGGATTGGCGAGAAGGTCCCCTCTTTATTGTAAAACATTGTGGTGGTGTCACTTCAGTAATATTAGTCCTGTCAGATTTGAAGGACTTTTTATACGATAACTCCAATATTCTTGGATTTATTTCTTCAAAGTTTACATTGTCATTGTGATTTACAAATTGATTTTATTGGCTTCATTGATACATATTGAGCTGGATATTGGTAATGATAGACTGTGGATACCATATAATGGTTGTAGTATATGTGTGTCTGGTAGTTTTGCTTTACATGACTTTATTTCCATTATTTATCAATAAACTTTATGTTTTCATAACAATATCCGGTTTTAGTACTATAAGTTATAGGTCAATTAGTCAATTAAATTTGAATATATAATCAATGTGAGATGTGAACAAAGAAATAAGAATATATACAATGAGACACCTTTCCATCCAAGTCACAATGTGTAAAAAGGAAACAATTATAGGGCAAATTATGGCCTTCGATACGGAGCCTTGGCTCACATCGAACAGCAATAACGGACTACAAAATCACTAGAGAAGTGTAAAACAATTCAAACAGGAAAGCCAACGGTCTAATCTATATAAAAATAAACGAGAAACGAAAAACACTTATGAACCTTATCAACAAACGACAACCACTGAACGGGCTCCTGACTTAGGACAATTGCAAACAAATGCAGCGGGTTTAAACGTTTTAACAAGCGCCAACCTTCACCTTAACCTGAAACAGCAGTTTAACATTACTCAAATAAAAAGATACACTATAAAATATCAATTGAAAGGGTCAAAACGTCATATAGGTGAAAACAAGTAAACATACACTGAACGAATACATTTGATCTATTACACAATATAAATACAATATTAAAAAAAGATTTAAAACAATGTCAAAAAAACAACTCTCACCTTAGACAAAATGCCGTTAAACAAAAAATCGTATACCAGAAAATTTAAATATAATAATTTTGTTGTTATGAGTACGGAAACATTCGTTTTTTTATATTTCACAGAATAAATAAATTTGTTGTTCAAAGTACGAATAAAGAAGTGAAAATTTATCGTCATACTAAATACTTAATTATTAAAGAAGGTACATATCAAAAATAGTGAGACGAAATATAACACAAAATAAGAAAACATTCAATAACAAAATGCATTACAAATTGTATCAACAGGTCAAATTAACACGAAAGTACAATTTGAGATATGTCCATCTGGCATGGTATATCTGACCATGAACTCATTTTCAATGATCATTTTGACCAATGTAAAGGTATTGTGATACTTGTAGTAAATCCTTAACATTAAATACAATTTCACTCAAACAGACATAACATCATGTCCTCTATTGATTTTGCAGTGTTGAATTTCATCTGTCGCAGCGAAGAGGGCATTACGTGTACTTCTTGTCCGTCAGTACGTCTGTACCCAAAATTGCTTACCGTTTTCTAATGTAAGTTTGCCTCGTCCAAATGGTATGAAACTTATACATAATGCTCATTAATTTAAAGTACATATCAAGTTAGAATTGGCTTGGCGTGGCGTCACTTTTACCGTTCTAGGGTTATTGTCTATTTACAAATGAAAAAAGCAGAATTTTCATTTTCTGTTCCCAACTTAAGTTTGTCTTAACCAAATATTATGAAATTTATACACAATGCCACAAAACTGAGATCAAGTTCAAAGTGGCGTCACTTTTACCGTTCTTTGAGTTAGTTCCCTTTATAATGTTATATGCAAGCGAGGACATCATCTGTGTCCCTTTGAACCACTTTCTAGATGTCCTGTACGTATACAAGTCAGGAATATGGCAATTGTTATCTAATGTTCGTTTCTATGTATGATGGCATTTAATTTTTGATTTTCTTTTGCAGTTTAGTGTTTATGTTGTTCCGTTGTTTTTAGCTTATAGTTGATGTATTTCCCTCGGTTTAAGTTTGTAACCGGGATTTCTTTTCTCTTAATCGATTTATGACTTGTGAACAGCGGTATACTACTGTTGCCGTTATTTCTTTTTATTTTATGAGAAAAGAAGCGTATTTGGACTAGATATAGGAAGATGTGGTATGAATGCCAATGAGACAACTCTCCATCTAGGTCACAATTATAAAAGCCGTTTTTTTTTCTTACATTAACATTAGCAATATCTATGTCGAATGTTTTTCTTTTATTCACAGTAAAAACCAGTGAAATAATGGCTACTGCATCAAATCTCTGTGGTATTTGTGATTTTCGTCACGTGACCAAGTCATCTGTAGCCTAGTGCCTAGAGTGTACTGATGGGTTTTGTTCTGGTTGTGTAGAACAGCACAGCGTTGCAAAGGCAACCAGAAACTACAAAACGATACCAATAGCAGAGTATCATGAACTACCTAAAGATGTCTTGCAGATCCCTCAATCATGTTCCAAGCATGATGAAAAGTTTCTTTTATACTGCAAAGATCATGAAATACCATGTTGTGATAAGTGTGCATTAAGGTTCATAAAGGATGCAATGAAATTGTCAATCTCGACGACATAGTCAAGAATGCAAAAACCTCTACCTCTTTTCAAGAAATACAAGAAACACTTGCTGAAGTTGTAAATAATATTAAAGAAATACGAAAATTGTACAGGGGAATTATAACTTCACTTTCAGAAAACAGAAAACAGATTGAAAAGCAGATTCAAGAAATACGTTTAAAGATCGATATCCATCTCAATCAAATACAAAAGAAGTTGGTAGATGAAATACTAGAAAGTAGAGGAAACAGAAAGAAGAAAAGTTTTTCAGTCGCTTAAATCATTAGAGGAGAAGGAGAATAATTTAACAAAGTACCAAAATTCAATTGCAAATATCAAACACCATTCATCCGACCTTCAGACATTTATGTCAATGAAACGAATAGAGCAGGATTTAGTTTACAAAAAATAGTTCAATCAATCATGCTTTGACGAAGACAAAGTAATATGAAAGTTATCACATCAAACATCCACTAATCTCTTGACACCATCATGAAAAACGAACAAACACTTTGAGGAAATAGCAGTAGTATTAAAGCCCACCAAAGCTGCATTTCGAGAAAGAAAGAATAGGCAAGCTCAAACAATTCTTCAAAACAAACAAGCAACAACCATTGCAAATATTAGAGCTCGGCTGCAGCAAACAATAGAAACGACTTCTGAAGACGCAAGAGGTTGTTGTATTCTACCAGATGGTAGAATGGCATGTACCTGCTTTAAAAGGAATATGTTAATTTTGATAAAGTCTGACGGTTCTAAAGATTTTAAGATAACATTACCAGATGCCTACGATGTTGCAAATGGAACAACAGATAACACGGTTATTGTATTGTCAAATGACATCTTTAAAGGTGGTATAAGCATTGTCGATATTCAGGACAGGAAGATAGGGAGGTTTATCCCAGTCGATTACGTATGTCATGGTTTAGTAGAACTAGACAGACACGTGATATTTTGTTCATTATCTGAAATGAAGATGTTAACCTTAACACTGAAACTGTAAACACCATTTATACTCCAATCGTTTCCTCATATTCGTATGTTACTACAAATTGAAAGAACATTTATTATACTTCATATTATGGTTATTCTGTATCTTGCTGTGACTTTCAAGGTGTCATTAAATGGACATTTAAAGATGAAAATATTTTGAAAAATACCCTGCGAATCTCTGTAGATGAGGATGGCTTCGCGTTTGTATTATCAAATAATTCAGTAGTACTTATCTCGCCTTGTGGTACGAAGCATTGGACACTTTTATTATCTAGTGACGGACTTAATGAAGCTCAGGCGCTGCATTATGACAAAGCAAGAGATATTTTGTTAGTTGCATAGAGGCAAGAGAAAGCATTTTTGTACAAAACAGATCGAAACTAGAATAAAAGATTCAGATAAAAACGTTATTTAAAAGGTATATGTTTATAGATTGAAATGTGACACCAAACAGTTATGCATATTTTTAAGCAGGGAAAGAGTTGGGAGCAATTATTTATTAGGTCTTTCCACTTTTCTGTGGAAAGACCTATTGGTTTTCTTCTGATTATTATTATTATTATTATTATTATTATTATTATTATTTTCTTCTTCCGCCACTTTTTTCTGACGGTGCTTTTTTTGTTTCGCAAGATGTCGCTTAGATTTTTTGTGTATGATATCGAACAGTTATTGCGATTTTGAAACTGACCCTGTTTAGCCGAATACTTTTTATTGTAAGAGTTATCTCCCAAAACACTGTTTTTCTTGTGTACGCATCTCCTTCGCAACCGTAAATGATTATGACGAATTTATGTCTCCAATTTGTTCGTTATATCCTCATAATCTTAAGATTAATTTTGACCGAAGCGGTCCAGAAACTCCATATGAGAGTTATTTTCCCTCTGTATTTAAAATAAGTAAAATGAAATTGTAATTGGTAAACCATAAGTGATAGGGACCTAGGGTCTTTTGATTTGAGGTCCTTGGTCCAAAAAAAAGAAAATAGGGTCAAGGTCAAAGGTCAAGGTCATTTTTAAATTTGGATTTTGGCTTATTTTCACCTCTTTTCAAACACGATATAACATATCGACAACATATTTTTACGTAATTGTTAGTTGCGACATGTCGTAACACATACATATAGGTTTAAAGGGTACGCTTACATCAAATTAGAGTTTTCTCCCCTCTTTTAGGGTCTTTTGATTTTAGGTCCTTGGTTGATGACCTTGAAATTGAGCTCAAGGTCATAGGTTAAGTTGACGTTCTAGATTTTGACCTTTGCTTTTACCTCATATGTATACATGATAAATCCATGGGACTTTTTGCATTAGGTTTCAAGTCATTTAACCTAAGAAAAGCCAACCGGAAGTGACCTTGTGTAAACCGGAAGTAGCATTTTTTTGTACTAAATTGATGAAAAAGTTTATAGAACCAGATATTTTTGGTATCAGTGTCAATTAAACGTTTGAATAATACCGGGAGTAACATTTTTCAAACCGGAAGTAACAAATTATCTCCCTTATTCAAAAAATATTGTATAGAAACCATATATTTTTGGAATCAGCGTACAATAAGCTATCATTTGAAGCTGGAAATGACATTTTAAAACGAATTTTACTATTTTCATATTAAAATACATGTGTTTTTGTGGAAAGACCTTCAATTGTTCTCTGAACAATTGGTTTTTAATTATCTTTGAACTTGTTTCATGGCTGTGTTGAAGACCCATCGGTTGCCTTGTGATTTGTTCTGTATTCACACGCAAACATTTGTGTTATCTTATTTTGTATTCAAGTTTCAAGGAAATCAACTGTTATAAATGAAGGAGGCTGCATGTATTGAATTGTATCCCTGTTTTTAGTTACAATATGATTGAAATATAGATCTCTGAGTTCGTTATCTAACATGTACGAGAACGCGAGTTAATATTTATGTATGTATGGATTAGACTGTTAAACTTTGCACTTATTGTACATTGAAATGCTAAGTGTTTATAAGAATAAAAAGATTTGGTATGGCTGCCAATGAGAAAACTCTCCTCCAGATGTCAAATGACACACAAGTTAGCAAATATAGATAACCGTACATCCTTCAACAATAAGCAAAACCCGTACCGCTTAGTCGGCAATAAAAGTCCCCGAAATCAAATGTAAAACAGTTCAAGCGAAAAAAAATACTAACGGCATGATGTACAAAACATTCAACGATATACAAATAGCTTGGGGCAGCGGTGTAACAGATTCAGTACAACACAAGAACAAACTATAAAAATCAGTTGGAAACAGCTTTCTGACTTAAGGATATTAGCTACTATGTTTTAAAATAACAAGTTTTTTATACGACCGCAAACAATTTTGCGGTCGTATATTAGTATTACGTTGTCGTCGTCATCCGAAGACATTTGGTTTCCGGACAATAACTTTTGTATTAGTAAAAAGAAATCTATGAAATTTAAACATAAGGTTTATAACCACAAAAGTGAGGTTAAGATTGATTTTGGGGGTTATGGTCCCAACAGTTTAGTAATAAGGGGTCAAAATGGGCCCAGATAAGCATTTTTCTAGTATCATGACAATAACTTGTGGAACAGTGTATGGATCTCTCTGAAATTATACCACAAGTTTCCATACCACAAAGGGATGGTTAGGATTGACTTTTGGGGGTTATGGCTCAATTCGTTTAGGAATTAGGGACAAAAAAGTGAGAAAATAGGGGTGTCCTGGTTAATGGACAATTACTTAAGTACAAATTACAGTGTAAGGGAGGTAATTCAAACACAACTTTGAATTACCTCCCTTACACTGCTTTTAAATTATGTATAAAGAATTTTTATATTGTCTTTAGGTGATTAGCTGTCATTTTTAGAAGTTACTATTTTAATAATTTTAAAAATGCTGATTAAGGTAAATTAACATTAGCTATGATTATGTATGTCATTTTCTATTTTAAGACTTTTATGATGTATTTAAATGGGTTATTATGGTTGCAAACTCCATTGGAAATTTGAATTGAAATTATGCCCATGACTGAGGGAAAGAATTTTTTAGAAAAAGGAGGAGGTTAAAAAAAATTGAAAGGGGGGGGGGTAAAAAAATCGGGAGGGGGAATTGTTGTTCCTCAAGATTTCAGAAATCAAAAAGAAAATCCATCAATTTTTTTTTTTAAAAGGGGGGGGGGGGAGGTCAATTTGCAACAGCATAGTTTATTGCACAAAAGCAAAACTATTGAATATAAATTCAAATCATATTACCAATTCTAAGTTCTTTGCAACTGACTACAGTTATTCTGTGTCAGAAACCTATTATGTGTCAAATATTGAATTACAATCCAAATTCAGACCTGTTTCAAGCGCGAATAGTGTGTCTATTTTTGCCCCAACTGTTCAGGGTTGGACCTCTGCGGTCGTTTCCAGCTGCGCCCGGCGAAGCAATTTATTAAAAGACTGTTATATTTTGATAGTATGTGAATAAGGAAACTGAAATAGGAGAAAACAATTAATGGTTCGTGAGCTTGTTTTGGAGGTATAAGCCATTGAAAATTTGGCGGGAAATGATAATCTCCAGATTTTTCATTCGTTCAGCATTGACTACTTTTTTCTTTAAACGAGAGTGCACACGCTGAAATGTCTCGCCTTCTTTACTAACCATTGATTTTATGTTGATAGTCCTAAATATAAAGCTTTACTACAAGTATCACATAAACTTAACATGATCCAAGAAAATAAGGCAAAGGTCATATAAACCAAACAAGACATACATGTACACCTTACAATCATTCAAAACACCAAATATAGTTGACCTATTGCTTATAGATTCGAAGAAATAGACTCAACCAAACAAACTAAACATTGACCAATGAACCATGAAATGAGGTCAAGGTCAGATGAACCATGCCAGACAGACATGTACACCTTACAATCAATCTATGCATTAAATATAGTTGACCTATTGCTTATAGTATCTAAGAAACAAACTTAACCATGAAAACTTAACATTGACCAATGAACCTTGAAAATGAGGTCAAGGTCAGATGATACCTTCCAGACATACATATACACCTTACAACCATTCCATACAATAAATATAGTTGACCTATTACTTATAGTTTTAGAAAAATCACATCACAAAAACTTAATACTGAGCAATGAACTATGAAAATGAGATCAAGGTAAAAAAAAACCTGCGAGACTGACATGTACATCATAAAATATTTCCATACACCACATATAGTTGACCTATTGCATATAGTATTAGAAAAAAGACCAAAACTCAAAAACTTAACTTTGACCACTGGACCATGAAAATGAGATCAAGGTCAGATGACACCTGCCAGTTGGACATGTATACCTTACAATCATTCTATACTCCAAATATAGAGGACCTATTGCTTATAGTTTTAGATATATTGACTTGACCACCAAAACTTAACCTTGTTCACTGATCCATGAATTGAGGTCGAGGTCAAACTCTCTAGTGGGTATGAGGACATTGCAAGGTACGCACATACTAACTATAGTTATCCTATTACTTATAATAAGAGAGAAATTAACATTACAAAAAATCTTGACTTTTTTTTCAAGTGGTCACTGACCCAAGAAAATGAGGTCAAGGACAATGGTCAAATGACAGACAGAAACTTCGTAACATAAGGCATATATATGCAAGGTATGAAGCATCCAGGTCTTCCACCTTCTAAAATATAAAGCTTTTAAGAAGTGAACTAATGCCGCCGCCGCCGCCGACAGAAGTCGCAGGCTCGACAAAAACAATTCAAAGATAACAAGGATTTTATTAGATTTTCAAATATGTCTTTTTAAATTATATGTAATAAAATTATGAAAAGAAATGTAGGGGTTGGCGGGCAATTTTTTTTAATGGCACTACACATGCTACATGGATAAAACTAGAGGATTCCGAATATCTGGCAAAAATTCAAAAGCAAGAGGAGCTTACATCCTTAACTCATCAATTTGTCATTTTAAATATTTTATTTCAAGCCAAAAGATCATTTGGTCTAGTCGACTTTTATTGTTTCACAATTGTATGACATTTGTTTCGTTTTGCGGATCTCTGCTTTGTCACATTCCGTTAATCGAAACTTTGCAACATCATGTCCTTTACATTTTCATGTTAAATTTGTATAATTTTCAATACAAAAATTATTCTATATGTTTGTGTAACTGTGACATAAGTCTAATACGCTTCCATACATTCCTTTGGGTTTTAAATATCCCTGTGTCCCTTATATGAGATTAATAACTCTATTCTTTGGTTAATTAATGGTACTTGAAACATAGTTTAAATACTTTATGGATATTATAAATAATAATGTGGTAGATAAATGTACAGAAATGTATTATGATAAAAGGTTAAGGTAAATTTAATTAAAATATAGAACTCTGATTTCGTTATACTACATATGAC